CTAAAGCAACTAAGTCATGAATTTAAAATTTTAGTCACAACTGTGAAAAGAAGACGCAGGTGCATACTTAAGGTTGAACATTTTATGCCTCTGGTATTGTAACTTTATGTGTGTTATACTAATTTTCATATAGATAGATCAGATCAATAAAAGGCTGTTGCAATAAGAATAGTTTAAAAAATGTCTCTTTCTTTTTCCTTCTTAGACATAATTCTAAAAGTGTTCTGTTAAATTTATTTGTAAAAAGATTTCATTTTTTGGTTTTATTCATTAAGTACTTGTCATAACAGTGTAATGAGAGAGAGCTATGGAAGAAAGATTTATTCTCCTTTTTTATATTTCCCCCATTATATTTGTGATATAATATATTCATTATTATATTTGTGATATAATAACATGGTAGTTCACAGATGGAACAAAATGGCTGAAAGGAAAAGGAATGACAAACTTACTTTGTTCTCAGAGAGACTTTTATATCACTAAGACATACACAAAACTATATATACATATATATTCATGTGTCCTATATGGAGAATAATATATTACATTTATCTACACTGCAAAGCAGAGTGTAAGGAGAAACAAGAAAGAAGGGTCTTGCATATAATATTGACATACTCCTATGTCTAGAGAAGCCATGTTTAGGACTCCAGATTCAAATGGGCCAGATTCATTTATGTCCCAAGTGAGGACGTATTCCGTGAATGGGGAAACAGCAAGTCTTGGGTTTTCCAAAATGACGACTACAAGTTAGTTTCTTTCTATATGTGGGAAAGATATTTTCTCAAAGAGAAATAGCGCCATGGACTTGTAGGCTGCTGGAGAGAGAGATTTAGCCTTTTCCCAAGCTTTGGGATGCCTGGGCTAAAGAAAGCAACCATACTGTTTAGTAAACAAAACTGAATTTGACTTTTGCTTTTGTCACTGTATAGAGTGATGTCACTAAAGGGAGATAATTGCCTTTTGTATCCCTCCAAGAGAAAAAATAGTAAACATTATATACATAAAGTCACATGAATTTCATTATAAAACCATACCTTCAATTTTATGTTGGTTGCATGCAGAAAAAAATAAACATTTATTTATTTTTTACTAATGTTCATCTCAAAATGGAGTGTTACTGAGTGAGGTGCGTGATATGAATGTAAATAGAGGATACAGGATGTGAAAATTATAAGGATATGAAGAATAAAAATTGGCCCTAAACTTGAAGAGGTTAATATTATAGTGTTTGGGGAAGCATCCATGCTGGAGTCTATTCCACAATGTAGCAGTTCTTGTGAAGATTTTTTCTGAGAAACAACCTTCTTACCAGTAGAATACCTGGTTGGGTTTGGTTTATGGCATATCAACCTCAGTGGGTTATTTAATGCCAACAATTTTTTTATTGCTGGTAATATTCTTTCTTTTTTTTTTACAAAGTATTTCTGGTATTAAAACCTATTTTTACACTTTTATAGTGTTTTAACCCCAGCTTGGGGGTTAACTATTTGCCCATAGCTGGGACCCTAACAGGTGCTACCACCCCGGGTTAGGATGGACCTGGGAACACCAGCAATTAAGAGGTCATTCCATACTCCTCAAAACCTTCTGATCAGAGGCCTTGCTGTTGGATATAGTTTATTGTCTTACCAAGGATGAAGATGTAGTTTATCATCATACACAGAATGGATTCAACCCTGTGGATGTAGCAAGGTTGCTGTAAAGGTCATGAAAGTAGCAATAGGCTTGTGACATTGCATCTGTTAGAGAGGGACTGTAGAGTGGAAAACAAGTCATCTGCTACAAGTCCGCATAAATGATTTGGACAATGTTGGAAAGTGAGGATTGGACAGGTTCAAACTAGATATACACTAAGCTGAGTTTAGTTAAGTAAAGGGCCGCTGTAATAGCCTTTCATTGAAGATGCTTACTACACCAATAATAGTTATGAGATAATTTGCTAATCACTATACTGTGCAATACAATTTAATTTTGTACAAATGCATATAAATGGAGATATATATATGTGTGTGTGTGTGTGTGTGTGTGTGTGTGTGTACATACATAGATGCATGCATATATATATATATATATGAGGGGGTGTATGTGTGTGATAACCCCAGAACTTTGATAAGGTATCCATCTAGGAGAAGGAAAACTCTAGTGTAACACCTGCCTTGATGTTAATTCATTTATCTCACATCTCCTTGTCTCCGGGATTCTTAGTATTGTAGGTGCGAGACTTTGCAGTGTTGTGCAAGCAATACAGCATAGGCATTGCTGACACCTATTGTTTGGATGTGCAGGTATGAGCAATTACCCTTGTGAATAGTATAAATCCACCTTTGCTCCCAGCTATGGGTTAAATAGTAGGGCAGACTGAGCCCTTTAGTCTTGGTGGGCAACAAGTCCAGGATAAGGATAACTGAATTCCATAACCTGGTTAAGTTACATTCCCTCATTGCTGATTGGGCCCTGAACTATCACTAGTCACAATGAATGGATGTGCCCTCAGAAAGGCCTGGTACCTTGACGAACTATTGGGCTTCAACCCAGATCTCTAGTGGAAATCGTATATATGATCCATTGCTAAAGTTACAGGAAAAAAAGCACCAATCCCTGTATGACTCCAGTAAGTACCTGATGCCTTGTGCTACCTTCTGCCTTTACAAGAGCCAGATCAGGCCTAAAATGGAGTACTGTTGTCATATTTTGGTGGGATCTGCCCAGTCCTCACTTTCCAATCTCAAATTAAATTAATTCTATTTTTTAGGGAAGTGTAGTGTTCTTGAAAATTTATTTCTATTGCTGAAGCCATGACTTATTAAGGAAGAGTGAGATATTAAAGAAGATCAACAAAAATACAGTGTGCAGCAGAAGTCTCTTCTGCATAATGGTAAGACATTAGCTAGATGAAGACACCAATGCCACTAATGTATTACCATTATGTCAGAGATATTTCTGTCGCACCCTGTAGTTAAGAAGAAAAATCTTAGTAAAACCAAGAATAAAAGAATGGCAGATTACTACTGATGATAAAATACATTGCTATAGTCACGAAACCTGAAAAAAGATAAAACCAAGACACACACCCATAACCACAATTAATTATTGGTTGGGATGATGATTGTTGTCATTTCTTTTTATTCTTGTTAAATTTATTAGTATTAATAAAATAAAAAAAATTCTTTCTTTTGTCAGTTCTGTACATCAAGTGCTTACTCATGCATAAAGTGGGTGTGAATCATTTAATTATTCTTTTTTGTTTAAAGAATTTGATTTAAAAAAATAACTAAAAATGTCTCTTAAAAGTAAAGTGATTAGTTTTTGCTTAAAAAATTTATAGAATGGCATAAATATTGTAATGTTTTTTATCATAGTTTCTGAAATCTATACTTTCTGCTCCTCATAATTATCATTGGATTTGAGAAATTTTTCAAAAACTAAAGGAGACTCATGAACAAAAGAAAAAAATAATCCAAAACAGAATTTGATTTGCATGTAACTGAAAAATAAAAATAAAGTTTCATCCCTGTCTTGATAATCTGTTGTCAATATTCATTGCTGTTGCTTTCTTATCTCATTTTCTCTTTTAGAAAAATAATAGAATAAAAATAAAAGGAATTATGGGGAAAGAAATTTCTGTTGAAATCCTAAAAAAACATTTGAGAATCAAAACAAAAATTGTATAAGACCTAATATAAATAATTGCTCATTTCAAATGAATGTTAAATTTGTATATTAAAGTGGAAGTAAAAAGAAATTTGTTTTGAGCAGAGTTATTTCATACAAAACCAGAGGAAGAGCCATCAGATTGACCATCGTCAAACTTAACAAAATTACATACATAATTTTAAAAAGTTATTTTCAGCTAATGATTTTTGACTTTTTTGTCCGGAGTGCGATGGGTAAATTGTCGCCATTTTATATTTTTTAATTTGCCACATTTGCATTCTTTACACAGTATAGTCAGGTAAGCTGGGCACCATCTGTGAGAAAAAGAGCAGCATGCGCAATTCACTCCACCAGAAATTTGGAAACAGCATGCTGTACTTTTTGGCATTTGCACAGGAAGCTCCAATACAAACATTTCAGAGTGTTTTGGTGTTAATCTAAGGACAGTGTAGAGGATTTGGAAAGAGTTGGGTGAGTCTAATGGTAATTATGAAAGGTGTTTGGAGTTATTACTAGTGATGACGATGTTATACCTCCATTCATCTTTCCACAGAGCCTGAGACTCAACATGGAGGGTTACATCAAGTGCCTTGAGGAGGCAGTGCTGCCCTAGGTCAAGAGGGTGGCTGGTGGAAGACCCTATGTCTGGCAACAGGACTCTGCACCATGCTACACAAACGGTAGAACACAGTTATGGTTGTCAGACAATTTCTGCGACCACATCACCCCCCCCTTACATCCAGAACAGTTAGAGGAGATTCTGAAGTCATCTGGAGGATATGGTTGAAGCCAATTGTGATTTTGTTGAATAAATTTACTCTTTAGTATTTAAAGATATTTTTGTGTAAATTTGGTTAATATATCTGTTAAAGTGAAATATCAGTGTTATTTTCATTTTTTGAAATTCAGACGACAATTTATCCATCGCACCCGGTATGTGTACAGCAAAAAAAAAAAAAAAGTCATGCTTTGATAAAAAATACAATTTTTCCATGAACTTTTGGAGTAGATAAAGTGTTTGAAAGATGCCAACATAATAAAAGATATTAATGTACTTGTAAAATAATTCGGACCCACTTTCTAGATTCATTTTTTATAACTTATCAACACTTTGCAGGTTATTCAAAGCCAGAAAATATTTTTAGATTGTAAGAATTTTTTTTTTGTGGGGGGACATAATAATGGTTTAGTGATACAAGTCTTACTAATTAACCTATAGCTGGGGATTCAAGGGAATTGATATTTTCACATAAGTGAATATAATGAACCCAACTGAAATTAGGATACAGCTCCCTGATTAACAATTCCAAGCCATTATCCATTACACCACCCACACATCCAAGCTTACAGCACCTTGTATTCCCAAGTGGTCACCCATCTCGGTACTGCTTAGGCTCAATGTTGTTTAACTTCAGTGATCATACAGGAACTGGAGTTTAGCATGATATGGCCATAAGCCTTTATGGAGATAGAAACAATTCCCAAGACAGAATGAAAGCATAAAGCTTTGTTTTCAGACAAGCAACATAGATTATTTTTTTCTTTTAAAATAAAAAAAAAAATGTTCCCATTTTGAAAGTAATTCAATTTGACATTTTCTAAAAAGATTTGTTAAAATAGGTTTGTGGAAAAGAAGACTATTTTAAAAGCTAAGTAAAATATATGCTGTGCATGTTCTTGGAGGATGGAAAAGTAACTTTATTATCTCTATAAGTCTTTATCTATCTCACTCTGTTCATATCTCTCTATCTCTCTCACTCTGTTCATATCTCTCTCACTCTGTTCATATCTATCTATCTCACTCTGTTCATATCTATCTATTTATCTGCCTAATATCAATCATAAGACAGTGATTCACTTTGTTTTTAACTGGTATGTCTCTTTCATGTTTAATCTCACTACATATATATTAATGCTTGAATGAAAAGGCTTCTTTTCTCATTTTTCTGAAGTGATTTTAATCAAATATTGTACAGTTAACCACCTTTAGAAATAAATGAATTTGAATGTATAACATTTGATGGAAATCACAAGTTTTGAAAAAGAAGTATGATCATATATATGCAATGGTTTTTAAATAAACTATTAATTCCTTTTAATTCCATGTTAGTATTAGAAAACATGTCAGTAGAATTTGTTGAGTTTGTTCAGTAAAAATAAAACTACTTTCTTGACTTTCAACATCAACTTTATTGAATAATATATTTAGCATTTTCTTTCACCATGTTCTATCTTTTAGGCATTTTTCTAATTCCATCCTCCCAGAACATTTTATTAGGAAAAAATAGAACTCTAGATCCCTTTTGCAGTGTTCTAGCTAAGTGAATTTTTTTCATTAAATAAATTCTAGAAAGTCTGGAATAAATGCTTACCAGAAGATGCAATATCTGATGAATACAATGGATAAGTGAAAACTTCTCAGCTAAGTTGTAACAATTTTTGTCTGGTCACTGAAGGTAAAAGCAGACAAGTATTATCCTGATGGAATTCTACCCTTTCTTTCTCTTGACTAATTCTGGAAGCTTTTTGTTGATTACTGCCTTCAGTTGGTCTAATTGGGAGCAAGACTTTTTTTTTTCTTTTAATCAATTTAGTTCTCTGGAAGGAGTTCCTGGTAGAAAATTCCATTCCAATCTCACCATATACAAAGCATCACTTTTGGATAATGGCAAATCTTTGGGATGGTTCGTGGTAGTTCATTTCATCTGCTCCATTTTCTGCATTTTTTATTCTTGTAAAATATCCAATTTTCATTGCATATCACAATTTCTTTTAAAAAATGAAACACTTTTATTATGTTTAAGTAATGGATTGCATATGGAAATATGGTCAGTTGAATTTCTTTTGCTTATGTGAAAATTATACATCAAAGTGACAAACATAACTAAGATGGTGCAAGTAATTTTTAATGCTTGATTTACATGTTTTGAGTATGTTGGTTATCTTGAGTATTGGGTGTGGGTCAGTGGTTAAAATGTTTGGTTTCCAAGCATGAGACCTTTGTTGGGATCTCATGATGAAAATGACTTCTTAATGTTATCAGGCTAGGGTGGTGACCCCCCCCATGCAATAACATTATAAAGTTCCTGAAAATCACACCATTGGTTAGTCCAGGCCTTGGAATGAAAATAGGTATATAGAATTGTTCATTGATCTTTGTGCTAGCATGAATTCATAACTCATTGTGGCTGAGGGTATGAGTGTACTGGCATTGTTCAAACTGTTTATCATGCCAGAAGTTGCAGTCTCTCTCAGAAACTGTAACTAAGGTCTGCTCAGTATAGTTGCAATATAAACCACAGGTGGGTCCTGTGGGTGTGGAACAAACACAAATGTGCCTGAACAGGTATCTGCAACTGGTATTAGGGAGCTGCTTTAGTTGACAACCATACTAGGAAATGAGTAGCCAGCCATTTTATATATATATATATATATATATATATATATATATATATATATATATATATATATATATTCATATTCACACTTGATTGTTGGTCTCTCTCTGACTTTCATGGAGATTAGGAACAAAACAGATAAGTGAATATTTGATTTTATTTATTGCTATTAATCCTCTATCTCTTTATGTTAAGCACTTTAATTACAAATACTGCTTGCCTTAAAAGTGTTATCATCCAGAAATACACTGGTCAATCTGTGTGTATGTATTTTTCTATTTTTGTAAAATGCAGTCTTTGTTATTGTTATACTTACATGTATACACACACGCACATTATATATATATATATATATATATATATATAAAAACAAACAAAATGAAGATACATTTTATTTATGTATGGAAATTAATGTCACTTATATGGAAACCTCTATCAGCAGGGTTGGGGTTAAATTACTTTGGGACACTTTGTGTTAGATGAACAATTTTAGTAGAGTTATGGACAGTCATTTTTCTTCAAATGGACCAAGGATGATTTCTCCTGCTTCCTCCTCATTGGTTGTATGCAATGCAAATTGTGTGACAAAAGCATTACAGAAATCTAATGTGAAATGCAGACAAATTGTCATGGCAAAGTTTGTTTATATTACCATATACACAAGGCTAAGAATATATGTAGATTTTGTGTGTGTGTGTATAGTTATATATATATATATATATATATATATATATATATATATATATATATATATATGTATGTATGTGTGTATATCTAGATATTATATATATATATATATGTGTGTGTATCTATATATATATATATATATATATATATATGTGTGTGGATTGCATGTACTTAAGAACAAAGTAGAATGTAAAAATTAGGATGATTTTAGCTTAGATAGCAAATATTTAAATTAAAAGGAAAGACTGATGCAAATATCACACTGTATCCACTGTACTGGTATTATGATGAGGAGGTCATCTATAAAAGCTGAAAATGGACTTAAATAAGTAGTAGTTCCCAAAAATACTCTAGTAACTCATGTGTCTTAGTCCGGTAAATATGGTATGTTTTATATTTTAGTGGTTCAAGGATCATAGCAATTATTTCTCAAAGACAGAACAGATTTATTGCTAGTATTTTTGCACTGTAGATGTTGCTGAGTGTTTTTTGTTGACATATTGTATAAAACAAAGGAGTGGATTCATTTGGAAAGCACTCTTTTCACCAAAAGCATTTTCATTCGACATTTTTAAGACTGTCGTATTTTATAAAAAAGAAGATTTATAAAAACCTCACAAAGTTAAATCCATCATGTATATTGAGTTTTAAAATGTGAGAAAATCATGTTAGATATGTTATACTAAGTTTAGTTTTGGTACAAATTCACAATGTACAGGGCACCTAGTGAGAATCTGACTGATCAGTTGGAATGATGTACAAGACCACTTCCTAACCATCACATAATGACAAGGTGCTCTTGAAGCTTAAAAAGAAAACCAATGTACAAATCCAGATAAAATGTTTCGCTTGAAATTTTAAAATTATTTACAGTACAGTTATCCTTGAAAATGGATGATACATATCCAAAACACTGAATATGACATAGTGTAGTCAAAAGTAAACAGGTTTCCAGTTGAAGTGGAAAAAAATTGCCAAGTTGAGGCTTGCATAGAATCATTTAGCTGATCTGTGGCTTTTTGCTTCACTGAACATCCTTTCTGGTTTAATTTAATTTATAATTGTTCATTAGTGCATGAAAGTAAATATCTATCATTTGCCCTATGACAGATTATATGATTAGATTAAGGTCTCCTGAATAAATAATGAGAAATGTGAAATATTCAATATTGATTGTATTGATTGCATAGCAGTTTATGCTTCTGTGAAAGGAATGAAGATAGAACTTTTCTTTAATAGGTATATTTACAAAGTGAGAGTAACATCTAAAATATTATAAGGAAATAAATTAATGAACATGCAGTATGTATCTGGGTACTTATTTGCTGTTCTGCCACTCAGCTATCTCTGTGTGCATTCAAAGATGTATATGTAGCTGAGATATCAGAGATTTTTAGAAGTACATCAAAGAATTGGTTCCATCATAGTGAAGATTAGCCCCAGGTCTTCATACCCTTACATGTGTTCAGATTTGTGACAATCATGCAATCTACCAATAAAAATGACTGAAAACTTTGTTAGAAATGAAATTTGTAGGCATAGGTAGTTTTATCTCTCTATATTGTATGTATAATATCTATATAGTGTGTGCTGAAAAGTTCTAAACCCAACAAAGAATTTTTCTCACATACAAAAACAAAAATTTGATGTTTGGTCATTTGGGTGGAGATTAGGCAGTGGGTAGGAGCAAATATTTTTAATCATATATATATGTGTGTGTGTTTGTGTAAAAATTCAGAGATAAATAAAATATATCTGTAGACGCATTATAAATAAAGAGAGAAGGAAAACTTTTCTTTACCTATGCATTTCATCACCTTGGAGAACTATGTCTTTGCAAAATTCCTTAGTGTATAAAATGTGTTGATAAATAAGTTTTCCTTTTGTCAAATTTATTAAACACTACACCTTGATTCTATATCCTATTTTAAACACATATTGTTGACAAGGAAGACATGGACAAACTTACAAACATAAATCTTTTACTTTTAACCCATTCTGAAGGATTTGATAAGGATTTGCTTTGGATTAATTTCAGAAAAAGCTATATGAATCTCTTGCTTTTGAGCCATTCTGAAAATGAGATGATGATTTACCTTTAATTTGATACAGAAAAGCTTGGAAAATATATCAACAACTTTCGACATGAACTAAGTATTATAAAGGAAAGATACAGAATAAATATTAATGGCTTTTTAAAAAGTCACTCATTTTCATTCTTTTCTTTAATCATGAGAAAAACACAAATATATGCATTTTTTTTCTTTCATTTTGGGATTTGATGAAGACTAGAAAGGCAAAACATATAATCAAATCTAGTTTCAATGAAATGTTTTTCCAGTTGTCAAATTTCTTAAAAAAAACATTCTTA